AATTTTTAATAATTTTTAATAATTTTTAATAATTTTTAATAATTTTTAATAATTTTTAATAATTTTTAATAATTTTTAATAATTTTTAATAATTAATTTTTAATAATTTTTAATAATTTTTAATAATTTTTAATAATTTTTAATAATTTTTAATAATTTTTAATAATTTTTAATAATTTTTAATAATTTTTAATAATTTTTAATAATTTTTAATAATTTTTAATAATTTTTAATAATTTTTAATAATTTTTAATAATTTTTAATAATTTTTAATAATTTTTAATAATTTTAATAATTTTTAATAATTTTTAATAATTTTTAATAATTTTTAATAATTTTTAATAATTTTTAATAATTTTTAATAATTTTTAATAATTTTTAATAATTTTTAATAATTTTTAATAATTTTTAATAATTTTTAATAATTTTTAATAATTTTTAATAATTTTTAATAATTTTTAATAATTTTTAATAATTTTTAATAATTTTTAATAATTTTTAATAATTTTTAATAATTTTTAATAATTTTTAATAATTTTTAATAATTTTTAATAATTTTTAATAATTTTTAATAATTTTTAATAATTTTTAATAATTTTTAATAATTTTTAATAATTTTTAATAATTTTTAATAATTTTTAATAATTTTTAATAATTTTTAATAATTTTTAATAATTTTTAATAATTTTTAATAATTTTTAATAATTTTTAATAATTTTTAATAATTTTTAATAATTTTTAATAATTTTTAATAATTTTTAATAATTTTTAATAATTTTTAATAATTTTTAATAATTTTTAAACAATCTGTGGCAAATGGACTTCGAATCCGATGCCAGCCCCCACCCAACACACACACAATAATTTTTAATAATTTTTAATAATTTTTAATAATTTTTAATAATTTTTAATAATTTTTAATAATTTTTAATAATTTTTAATAATTTTTAATAATTTTTAATAATTTTTAATAATTTTTAATAATTTTTAATAATTTTTAATAATTTTTAATAATTTTTAATAATTTTTAATAATTTTTAATAATTTTTAATAATTTTTAATAATTTTTAATAATTTTTAATAATTTTTAATAATTTTTAATAATTTTTAATAATTTTTAATAATTTTTAATAATTTTTAATAATTTTTAATAATTTTTAATAATTTTTAATAATTTTTAATAATTTTTAATAATTTTTAATAATTTTTAATAATTTTTAATAATTTTTAATAATTTTTAATAATTTTTAATAATTTTTAATAATTTTTAATAATTTTTAATAATTTTTAATAATTTTTAATAATTTTTAATAATTTTTAATAATTTTTAATAATTTTTAATAATTTTTAATAATTTTTAATAATTTTTAATAATTTTTAATAATTTTTAATAATTTTTAATAATTTTTAATAATTTTTAATAATTTATTTTTAGTAATTTTTAATATCTATTTTAACTAATTTTTATTTATTTTTACTTATTTTATTTTTTTTTATTATTTTTTTTTTATTTATTTTTATTTATTTTTATTTATTTTTACTTATTTTTATTTATTTTTACTTATTTTATTTATTTGTTGTTTTTTTTTACGATACTCCCCATTTTCCTTCCTACTTAAAATGTGAAAATCATCATTATTTATTATTTACTTATGATGATCAGCTACAATTCAAAATTTCAAATTTCTACAATTAAAAAACCGAAAGTCTTATTCAAACTTTCACCTTCCGTTTCCTCCCTTAATATGTAAAATCCAATTACTTTGAAACATGTCTATTTATTTATGAAGAGTACCTAGAATTCCAATTTTAAAATTCCTACCATTCAAACTTTCACTCCCCACACATTTCTCCCATTTTCCCCATTTCCCCATTTTCGTCATTTTCCAATTTCCCCCATTTTCCTTCGTTCCCTCATTCCCCTCTTACCCCCATTTTCCCTTTCCCCTCTTAAAATATGAAAATCCAAAAACCTGAAACACGTGATGATCAGCTATAATTCCAATTTTCAAGTTCCTACCTTTTATATATATTTTTATTAATTTTTATTTATTTTTATTAATTTTTATTAATTTTTATTAATTTTTATTAATTTTTATTAATTTTTATTAATTTTTATTAATTTTTATTAATTTTTATTAATTTTTATTAATTTTTATTAATTTTTATTAATTTTTATTAATTTTTATTAATTTTTAATAATTTTTATTAATTTTTATTAATTTTTATTAATTTTTATTAATTTTTATTAATTTTTATTAATTTTTATTAACTTTTATTAATTTTTATTAATTTTTATTAATTTTTATTAATTTTTATTAATTTTTATTAATTTTTATTAATTTTTATTAATTTTTATTAATTTTTATTAATTTTTATTAATTTTTATTAATTTTTATTAATTTTTATTAATTTTTATTAATTTTTATTAATTTTTATTAATTTTTATTAATTTTTATTAATTTTTATTAATTTTTATTAATTTTTATTAATTTTTATTAATTTTTATTAATTTTTATTAATTTTTATTAATTTTTATTAATTTTTATTAATTTTTATTAATTTTTATTAATTTTTATTAATTTTTATTAATTTTTATTAATTTTTATTAATTTTTATTAATTTTTATTAATTTTTATTAATTTTTATTAATTTTTATTAATTTTTATTAATTTTTATTAATTTTTATTAATTTTTATTAATTTTTATTAATTTTTATTAATTTTTATTAATTTTTATTAATTTTTATTAATTTTTATTAATTTTTATTAATTTTTATTAATTTTTATTAATTTTTATTAATTTTTATTAATTTTTATTAATTTTTATTAATTTTTATTACTTTTTATTAATTTTTATTAATTTTTATTAATTTTTATTAATTTTTATTAATTTTTATTAATTTTTATTAATTTTTATTAATTTTTATTAATTTTTATTAATTTTTATTAATTTTTATTAATTTTTATTAATTTTTATTAATTTTTATTAATTTTTATTAATTTTTATTAATTTTTATTAATTTTTATTAATTTTTATTAATTTTTATTAATTTTTATTAATTTTTATTAATTTTTATTAATTTTTATTAATTTTTATTAATTTTTATTAATTTTTATTAATTTTTATTAATTTTTATTAATTTTTATTAATTTTTATTAATTTTTATTAATTTTTATTAATTTTTATTAATTTTTATTAATTTTTATTAATTTTTATTAATTTTTATTAATTTTTATTAATTTTTATTAATTTTTATTAATTTTTAATAATTTTTATTAATTTTTATTAATTTTTATTAATTTTTATTAATTTTTATTAATTTTTATTAATTTTTATTAATTTTTATTAATTTATATTAATTTTTATTAATTTTTATTAATTTTTATTAATTTTTATTAATTTTTATTAATTTTTATTAATTTTCACCCCCGTTTCCCCCCCTTAAACTGTGAAAATTCAAAAACCATAAAACACATCATTATTTATTTATGATGAGAACCTATAATTCCAAATTTCATGTTTCTAACTTCAAAGAGGACAAAAAAAGTTATACTCACATACAAACTTTTACCCTCGTTTACCCCCTTCAAGATTTAAAAATATAAAAACCCTAAAACACATTATTATTAATGTGTACTCAGTAGCTGCAATTCCAATTTTCATGTTTTTAACTTTAAAGAGAACCAAAAACATAAATACTCCCAAATAACTTTTCACCCCTCTATCTCCCCCCTTAAAATGTGAAAATCCAAAAACCCTGAAACACGTCATTAATAATTTGTAGTCAGTAGCTGCAATTCCAATTTTCATGTTTCTAACTTCATAGAGAACAAAAAAAAATCGATAATCCCTTACAAACTTTCACCCCCCGTTTTCCCCCCTTAAAATGTAAATAATCCAAAAACCCTGAAACACGTCATTATTTATTTATGCTCAGTAGCTTTAATTTAAATTTTCATGTTTCTAACTTTAAAGAGCAAAGAGTTTCATTAAAAGCTATCTCCCCCCTTTTCCTCCCATTTCCCCCCTTTTAAGTTAAAATTTACAAAAATCCTTTCTTAGCGGATGCTTACGTTATAAAATAAACCTATGTTCCAAATTTCAGCTTTCTAGGCTCAGTAGTTTTGGCTGTACGCTGATAGGTCAGTCAGTCAGTTAGTCAGTCAGTCAGTCAGTCAGTCAGTCAGTCACTCAGTCAGTCAGTCAGTCAGTCAGGACAAACAATTTTGTATATATAGATTTCCCTAAAATGGTCCTTATTCGAGATATTTGAGGAAAAATTGAAATTTCGATAATGAAAAAACACAAAATTTTAAACTGTAGCTCTAATCCAACCTGCGGAGAGCTGATTCAATTTGAGGAATAGTCGAAGGATCTGGGGGGACACTTTACAGGGTTTCATTTTCCACTTTAAGGAATATCTTTAATTACGATTGAAGAAGAAAATTCTTCAAATAAAAGTTGTTTGGAGATAGCATTCTCTTTAATGTTTGTACCATACATGATTTCTCTAAAACGGACCGTAATAAAAAAAATTGAAAAGTGTAAAATTTTAATTTTTTAGTAATTTCGTTGGCAATGAATATATTATAAAACAAGGTTTCTAGTAAGATGTGTGTGTGGAAAATGTATCTATTTTGTTCATCCTCTAAAAATTTACAAGGGTGATTTAATAGGTCGTATAAAATAACCGAAAAAGGCCTGTAATAACTAGACAGAAATTCATGTGTTAGACAAATCAGATTTTTAATATCACACTTTAGATTTTTAAGACGTTTTGTCTAAAAATTACATAGGTAATCAGTGTAAAAATTTTTAATTAGGTACCTATAATTCTTTACATAAATTTAGTTTCTCTAAAAACCAATATAATGAATCCTTAATTTCAATTTATTTGAGACCTAATTTACGTTTAATTGAACCATCACAAGAGACATGAATGAAAAAAAAATTATAATTATTATTGAGTTTCATTGTTAACCAAATTCATATTTCAGGTCCGCTATCACACAGTTCACTACATCACTCAACGATTGCATATACAAGTCCCTTTGTGTCCGAAATATACCCATCAGATATTACCAACAGAATTCGTCCATCGTCAGTATCTAGTCCATATCAAAAGGAATCCAATGCCTTTGGAAATATTCAACTAGGTTATCATGTGGGACAAACAAGTATCTTCGACCAACTACCAGAACACAGCAAAGTTTTAGTTCATAATAATGGCTTAATAGAATGCTTAGATCAAGGAAATTTCCCTCATCCCGTATCTTGTAAGAAATTTATTTCGTGTGCAAAGTTGGAAAATGGAAAAATGCTTGGCTGGGAGTACACTTGTCCTAAAAACTTGAGTTTTGACCCAATTGGTGGGATATGTAACTGGTCCGCTGATTTAGGTTGTGATGAATAGAAATAAAATTAACTATAAATTATCTTAAAATTATTATTTGGTCTCAGTATTACCTACGGTCAGTACGAAATTATTTTTATACAATAAAGTTTTGTTTTTACTTATAACCTTTATTTTTTTTTTAAAACCTCCATCTGTTACGCTATCGTTATACGATCCTGGGACTCAATTTTTGAGTTTTATTCCCATGGGAAAATAAAATTTTCCCATGGGAATTTAGTTTTCGTATTCTCAACACAAGCGGTGGAATATTTTCCAATAGGAAGTATGGAAAAATATTCCCCTGCTTACGAGCATTGGAAATTGTGTTTTCCAATGGGAATTGTACTAGAGTTTGCGCATTACAGTCGAAAATTTGACGAAGGACTAACACATAACCAAAGATTTTCGGATATCTTAGATTTTTGGTGAAATTGTAGTTAAAACATTTTTTTGGCGTATTTATAAATTTTTACTTGTTTGTACTTATTATTTAAGTTGATATTATTTTATTTATGTAGGTATATTATTTTTACTTTTCTTTCACTAAGAAACTGGATGAACTGATTTTCTTAAATCAGTTAGCAATTGTGGGAGCTGCTAAGGGACTGGTAAATAATACAAATTGAGAAATTTGTAGTAATTTGAATAATGAAGCAACCCTTTCGAAAATTTTATTATTTCCGTTAACGAAGGAATTTCTTAGTTTCTGGAAACTTTCGTTGCTCTTCCGTACAAAAGCTGCTTTTTCTTTTTTCAACATGTAAAAAGAAAAGCTAATAATTCAACAAGTTTTAATTATACAATCGAATATTTTCCCTTGTTCCTCGGTCATGCTAGCGATTGCTCGGCACGGCACGCCACCTGCTCCGGAGCGGGGGCTCGGCAGGTAACAGGTTACCCACAAACCACAACAAATACCGATAATGCCAACAGTAAATTTTAAAATATATTTAATGCTATTGGTTGTTTCGAAATATTCGTGGACTTAATATCAGACATACGTGAAACTACTATTTCCATGGTAATGTCTATTCCACATACTTTGATTTTCTTTTACTATACGGAGAATGGTCGCAGTGAGCAGCTTTCTGAGTGCCTTTTAAAAGGAGATAGAAAGCTCCGCCATTTTGATCCCTTATTACGTGTTGCCTACATCTTGGCGCAATATTTTTAATAGGTGCGTTTTAATCATCCGCTTCTGCTTCGGAATTGTCGGTTTTCTTGTTTTAATGTGACAGGTTAAAACGACTAAACCGACAATTCCAGAAGCAGAAGCGCATGATTAAAACGCACCTGATATTTTGCTTGCTGCTGTCAGTGTCAGTGAATATTATTTTTGGAGTTACAGTTTATTGCTAAAGAATCAGTTAGCTCACTCGGACCAGTTGAAAGTTCCAAAATAACATCCACTCCAGGGATACAAATTCAGGATACGCAGAAGACTGCCCAGACAGCACACCAAATCCTTTGGATATCTACTGAACATCCCAATATCCACTGAATGTCCAGTCCATGGTAGATATCTATTTTATATCCATGAAATGTAATTTATAGACATGCAAATGTCCATAAATAATAGTAATTATATAGCAAATTATTAAAAAATTACGCCATTGTGCTCGCCATTGTGGCTAATAGTACCGTTCAGATATTTAAAATTATTTTTTTAAGGTGTATTCAATATCCCATGAACATCCACTAAATATATCAAAGTCTAGGCGCGAACGCAAACCATCGTGGATATCCACTACATGTTATTTGATTCTGCTTACTAAGTATAGATGGCGATACCACTATCGCATCTACTCATGCTCGACCCGCCCTAATTGAGTTCGATCGAAATTTGTGTCCTAATCACTCCATTAGAGACTGGAGTCGAGAATTTTCAGTTATTGCTGAAGAGTCCTAATAAGGATGACTTTCTCCTTAAAGGTCAAAATCAAAGGCAGAGTGTTGAAAATATTTTGAGTGTTGAAAATATTTTTTATCTCTGCTATTTTCTTTGGACGTTATTCAATAATCATTGGTTATTTATGAACCTCTACTAAAGATACCCATAAAATATTTTGCTGAATATCCGAATATCTTCTATATCCTGGGATATTAGACGGACATTTGGTTGGATATATCCATATTGGATATATTGAATATCCACAAAATATATTCTGTGGATATCTCTGGGATTTCTTGTATTTTCTGGAAGATACCCATTGGATATTTTGCTGAATATCCATTAGGATATCTTCTATATTCTGGATATAGACGGACATTTGGATATCCATATTAGATCCACGGAGTATTTCTGATATCCTGTGGATATATTGGATATCCACAAAAGATATTCTGTGGATATCTCTGGGATTTGGTGTGTTGTCTGGGTGCTGTTTTATTATAGGCGGTTGTCATATATTGTATTATCCGAGTTGCGCAGTGTATAAACTGGAACATTGAGATCAAAAGTGCCGATGCAGAGTGAGCGATCTGATTCTTTAGCTATATAAACTGTGGCATAGGAATCAAAATCGCCGCGCCCTATGTTGGGCGTGTCGGACCCAATGAACTGGAGTGGGGTAGAAAGCCCATGTGCATATTGTATCAATAGAAAAAGATGCGACTCTATGGGCGCAGCCATTTTTATTTCTTATCTCACTCGGGAGTATTTATAATAACCATTTTCTGTTTCACATTGTTATTGTTCAATCCACAAGCTGGTGGATCAGACAATAACAAAGTGAAATAGAAAATGGTTGTTATAAATACTCCCGAGTGTGATGAAAAATAACCTGTCTTCGCGCATTGAGTCGCATGTCAAGCCTATTGACAAACATTCTACCCCACTCCAGTTCATTGGTCGGACATACTTTGATTTTCTTTTACTATACGGAGAATGGTCGCACTGCGCAGCTTTCTGAGTGCCTTTTAAAAGGAGATAGAAAACTCAGCCATTTTGAACCCTTATTACGTGTTGCCTACATCTTAACGCAATATTTTTAATAGATGCGTTTTAATCCAATGAACTGGAGTGGGGTAGAATGCTTGTCAATAGACTTGATGTGCGACTCTATGGGCGAAGATAGGTTATTTTTCATCTCACTCGGGAGTATTTAAAATAACCATTTTCTATTTCACATTGTTATTGTCTGATCCACCAGCTTGTGGATTGAACAATAACAATGTGAAACAGAAAATGGTTATTATAAATAGTCCCGAGTGAGATACACAATAAAAATGGCTGCGCCCATCGAGTCGCACCTTGTTCTAATAGTACAACATGTACATTGGCATTCTACCCCCCTCCAGTTCATTGTTTCAATCATCCGCTTCTGCTTCGGAATTGTCGGTTTTTTTGTTTTAATCTGACAGGTTAACACGACTAAACCGACAATTAGGCATTCCAACGACCTGTCAAACAATAGGTGCCAGTGGGGAATTCTTGTATATCTAAGGGGGTAGCGACATAGTCTTGCATCTTGGACGCTATTTTTATTCGAAATTGTAATCGCCAAGCCTGCTAATTTATGAAGAAATGTATAGGCGGGTTTTTTTAAATATTATTTTAATTGTGTTTGGCATAAAATATTTAAATGTAATCCATTATTCATGATTTTACGTATAGTAGATAGAATACATTGTATGTCGCAACCCTTAGATATGTCAAACCTTCCCACTGGCAATTCATTTGTTTGGAATGCCTAATTCCGGCAGGAAGCGGATGATTAAAACGCACCTGATATTTTGCTTGCTGCTGTCAGTGTCAGTGAATATTATTTTTGGAGTCACAGTTTATTGCTAAAGAATCAGTTAGCTCACTCGGACCAGTTGAAAGTTCCAAAATAACATCCACTCCAGGGATACAAATTCAGGATACGCAGAAGACTGCTGTTTTGTTATAGGCGGTTGTCATATATTGTATTATCCGAGTTGCGCAGTGTATAAACTGGAACATTGAAATCAAAAGTGCCGACGCAGAGTGAGCGATCTGATTCTTTAGCTATAAACTGTGGCATAGGAATCAAAATGGCAGCGCCCTATGTTGGGCGTGTCGGACCTCTGTCTTGCACCGTATTGTAATTAAAGTATGTGGGTTACGGTAACTCATTTCATTCATAAAAATCACATACTTTGATTACTATACGAGGCAAGAGAGAGGTCCGACACGCCCAACATAGGACGCGGCCATTTTTAACCCTGTGACACAGTTTACAGCTAAAGAATCAGATCGCTCACTCTGTGTCGGCACTTTTGATCTCAATGTTTCAGTTTATACACTGTGCAACTCGGATAATACAATATACGTCAACCGCCTATAATAAAACAGCAGTCTTCTGCGTATCCTGAATTTGTATCTCTGGAGTGGATGTTATTTTGTAACTTTCAACTGGTCCGAGTGAGCTAACTGATTCTTTAGCAATAAACTGTGACTTCAAAAATAATATTCACTGACACTAGTCGTTTTCTTTTTACAAGCATTCTTGACTAACTAAAAGTTAGATTCTGATCTAAGCTTAACAGTAAAAAGAACGCGAATTTTGGTTGACAGGTGACGTGCCCCATGTCATCCGTTTAAAAACAATCCATATTTTAATCAAATATTATAATTTTTTCAACATTCAACACTACAAATCTCACCCCCTGTTATCATAGTCTTTTATTATCTCTAAAATAATGAATTCATGGGATATGTTTGTTCATATGATGCACAGAACACTCACTTTCTGTGATGGTTTATGGTTGACGTCAAGTACCATGCACCTTAGCATCGGTAAGGGGGGAAGAAAGATTCTGACTTACAACAGAGACGTGTAACTTAATAGGAAAATATGTTCGGTGGTCCATTTAAATTACATATATGACCCTCTTTTTCTTTTACATTGATCTTTACATAAGTCTATCTCTCTCCAATAAAACTAACACCATTTTCAGAGGGCGCTGGTGTTGCTGGTTTTTTGACATAGAATTATCGATTAAAAGTATTAAAACTGACAACTGACAATGTTATGAATGTTGTTATGAACATGTGCATTTTATTAAAATTAATTTAATTTGGGCCCCGTATATTTCTTTAGTCTGATTTTGTTGTTTA